TACACTCTGCAGTTTGGGCCTAAGTCGTAGTTTTGTCAACCTGATTATGAAGTGTGTTTCCTCAGCTTCCATGAGAGTGTTATGGAATGGCATACCCACTGAAACGTTCTTCCCAACAAGGGGGGTGAGACAAGGTGACCCCCTAAGTCCGTGCCTTTTTGTAATCTGTATGGAAAGATTAGGCCAACTGATAAATACTGAAGTGCAAGAGGGGCGGTGGAAACCCATCTCGCTGTGTGGCGGGGGACCTAAACTAACGCACTTGTTCTTCGCAGACGACTTGGTTTTATTCAGTGAAGCCTCTCAAGACCAAATGGAAGAGATAAGAAATACTATGAGTTTCTTTTGTGAAGTGTCAGGACATAAGATAAACCTTCAGAAATCCAGAATGTTTGTCTCCAGGAATGTCCACTCAAGCCGAGCGAACTCCCTCAGTCATTGGTTGGGAATTAAACTAACTGCAGACCTTGGAAGATACCTAGGGGTTCCTTTACTGCATAAGAGAATGATGAAGGTAACCTTTGCCCCGATTGTTCAAAAGGTTAGAAAGAAGCTTGCTAGCTGGAAGGGAAAATACTTAAGCATGGCAGGTAGAGTAGTTCTGATAAAATCTGTCCTATCTGCTCTTCCTTACTACCAGATGCAGTCAACCTTACTGCCAAAAGGAGTCTTGGCCGAAATTGAAAAGCTGTGTAGGGACTTCTTCTAGAACCATTCAGCTGATGTGAGAAAGTTGCATTTGATAGCTTGGGATACCATAAAAAGTGATAAACAGACGGGGGGCTTGGGAGTTAAAGATCTGCACTTCCAAAACACGGCGTTTATCCTGAAATTATGCTGGGGACTCCTAACCAAGCCAAACGCTATGTGGGTAAAAATTTTGAAAGCCAAGTACCAATGTGGCTGTGAAGAATGGCCAAAGGTAGTGGCCAAAGGGAATCAATCAGCAGTATGGAGGAGTATTACTGCAGTTTGGGAAGTTTTTTCAAAAGGTGTGGGGAAGAAAATCAGGAGTGGATCAAACACAAAAGCGTGGCAGGAAACTTGGGCCCCACTCGATTTACCACTCAAAGAGTATGTGATCAAAAACCACCAATTCCTCGATATGGAAGCTAAGGTTAGCCAGTTTATGCGGCAAAGGGGGGAGTGGAATTTAAGACAATGGAGCGTTTTCTTACCACAGTGGGTAGTAGATAAAATCCAGAATATACCACCCCCATCTTGTGAAGGACCCGATGTCTTCTACTGGAAGAAGAGCTCAGATGGCGCTTTTAGCATCAAGTCAGCTTACAATTGGGTGTCAACTCAGAATCTTAGACCAAAGAACTCTCACTGGAATTTTGTCTGGAAACAGGACATCCCGGAGCGAGTGAAAGTTTTTATGTGGCAGGTGTTTCATGAGAGACTACCAACTAATCTTGCCAGAGCTAAACACTGCAGTACTACCGTTCCTGAGTGCCCCTTTGAGTGCCTTTGTGAGGAAACACTATTACACACCCTGAGAGACTGTGAAAATGCCCATGGAGTGTGGTCTGCTTTCATTAACCCTGTTTATTATGTTGGTTTTTTTAGTGGTAATTTTCAGGATTGGCTGCGGTGGAACTTAGAGAATGAACCAGGTTCAAGACAAATATCAAAGTGGCGGTGGTTTAGAGTATTTTCTCTAGTCTGCTGGATGATATGGAAAAATCGGTGCAAGAAGGCGTTTAATGAAGACCACGTATCACCCAGGGAATTGATCAATCATTGTCTACACATGCTCATGGAAGAAGTGGAGAACAACCAGCTTAAACATCAGATATTCCAAGCAAATGTTGAAGCAGATGATACATGGACCCCACCACCACCATCCTATGTCAGAGTGGATGTGGACGGCTCTGTGACTGACCAGAATCAAGCGGCGTGTGGGGGGATCCTGCGGGATGAAGACGGGAATTGGCTATCAGGCTTTCAACAGAAATTGGGACCAGTGGGTTCGACAATTGCTGAGCTATTGGCGATTAGAGCGGGACTGGTATTATGTAAAAAGCTACACCTCTCAAAGATCAAACTGTACACAGATTCGAGAGAGGCGTTATACCTCCTTCAGCATGGAGGTGGAACTTCACATCCGTTTAAGGAGGAAATCTATGAAACAAGGTCCATTATCTTCTCAAACTGGAATCTGGAAATATCATACGCCTGTAGGGAATCGCTGCGATGCGCGGACTACCTAGCGAGGAAGGCTCACAAAGTTTCTATGGAGCTGAATCAGGTTCAAAATCCTCCAAGATTTTGTGTTCACCAAATGCAACAGGACGCTGGGATTTGTCTCAGGACGCATCTGACTTAGGCGTGTTCTTTTTGCTATGTTTGTACTTCAAGCTCTCGCTTGCCTTCTTATTCGAAAAAAAAAAAATGCATGGTACAACTGACGATTTACAACACAGCCAGGCTATAGCCGAATAAGCATGAACCTGTGAGTTAGGCCTCAATTATGAAGCTGACCTATATTTTTGGTCCAATTCTGAGCCCACCAAAGGGCTGGGCCATGTTAAGGCCCAGGCAACTCAGATAGTTGCCTTAAGCCCCTCAAATTGTTGCTTTATACTCCATATCTGTGTGTGGTGTTTTTCTTTAATCATGGAGAGATTTAATTGGAAATTAAATAATTAGGCGCTAAGTATTGTTCATTTGTTCTTCCGGTTGAAATCTTCTTTCAATTTCGAGATAATATCAATTGTTGGACTTAACTATTAGCTGTTTAGTAAAGAACGAAGAAATTTTAGTACTTCAGTTGAAATATTAAACTAAATAAAAAATTAGACTCCCCCCCCCCAGGATACATATCTTGCTTATAGAATATTATTGATCATTATACTATTTGTGGTCTTGATTTACTTTCAAAATTGGAGTTGAAATAAAGTTAACAAAAGATAAAACTAGAATTGAACAATTAAATTAAATTATATCAATTGAACTTCAATTTATTAGCCGTGTGGGAGCCGTGAGTGACACAAAGAAGAAGGTGCAGAAACTGAATACGGGAAGAGCAGAACCGAAAGGGAGGTCGGTTTTAGCAGGCTAATAGCAAAGCTTGTTCTTGTATGCGAGTGACATTCAATGTTTTGACTGACAAAGAGGGCATTCACATGTACAAACAAAAAGAAGAAGAAGAAGAAAGAGGGCATTCACAAACTAGTAGTAGTAGGTGAGAAGAACAAACGAGGGTGAGATGAAGGTCAGAAGAGCAAATGAGAGATAGAACATTGATATGAAGAATTACCTTTCTCTACCGTGGTCCTCCTCTGTGATTCGCCGAGTCGTACTTTCACCTCCGCCAGCTCCGTTCTCTAGCGGCTGGAGCGTCTGTGATATTTGATCGAAAATGAATAGCAGTTCTGTTTTTTCTTGGGCGAGGGAGAAAAGTTGTTAAGAACTTTCATAATTTGGAGTATTATTGTCAAAAATTGTTCACTGAACTCATCTCACTTTCATGGGCCTATCCAAAAACACTCACTTCCATACCCCCGTCACGTTTGAGCGTCACTTCTCCAGAGAACCCAGTTCACAAATGCCAAACACACTTGGATCCCACCTCTTGACTCTGGCAAACTAGAGGTACAGTAAAATGGTGTCTGGTTACTTTAGGTACACTAATGGTAGTATTTGATTTACCTTATTTTAGTTGACTGTATGTTGTGCAAGATAAATATATCAGAGTAACAAATAAGTGATTCTTTAGTTAAACGGTAGGAAGCTCAAATAGAAATATTCTATTTGAGCTTATGCTAGTGATTATGAAATCTATTCACCTTGTTTGACTAAATTTCTTAAAATTTCGAAAAAAAAATTGTTAATTTACTTTCTATTGCACGTTTGAGCATACTGATAAGTCATTAACACTAGTTTTTGCGATTGAAAAATTTCAATAGAAGTTCAGCAACGAGAATTTTTCCCATATACCTTTATAATAATTATAATTAAATTAAAATTATATTTGAATAATAATTAATGCTTATAAGAATGATATTGAATTATATTTTTTCTATATACCCTTGTTACTTTTTGATAATTATACATCTATAAGTGAGTTTAATAAATGAAATTCAAACATAATCAACATTCTTAAATTCATTTATAAAAAAAGTATCTAAACAAAAATCACGAAACTTCTAATTAATATCACTAATGAAAAATGATGATAATCTAAAATTATAGTCATTTACCACTAATCCAAAGAGTCACCAAGTAATTTGGGCCCAAAATAGCCCAGGGAATGAAATAATAAGTCAGCCTAGAGCTTAGCGGCCAACTATATTAAGCAGGTAGAAGGAATTCTGATACTAAAAAAATTAGGTCTAATAGAATGGGTTAGTCCCTCACAAAGTGATGAATCAATATTCGAATTCTCACTGAAAGAAATGCTTATATTTAGTACTCGATTATGTCTTAAATAGTATTACTTCTAATAAAAGAATACCTATGCTTTGGAGGGGAAAAAAAGGAAAAAGAAGGAGGAGGAGGAATTCTGATCATCAGCAAGCAGCGCTAGACATTTTATGCTACGATTTACTCCACAAGAGACCGTTTGACGGTGATCATGTTGTTGACGCAATGATATTGTGACATGCACTATCATGTACATCTACGAGAGTGACGGGACTTATGTGTATTAGGAATATGTATAGTCGATTTGGCAGCGTATCTATGTGTTATGTTGCGATTTTAACTTCTATGTTTATATGATTATGTGATTAGATTGGATTCGAGACTCCACAAGCTTACGAAAAGCACCAGATGTTACAATTGAAAGAAAGCGTAGGTCAACCTAAGTCGTAATTACATATTTAAACCGTTTTTTTCTTTTTCCAGATTCATATTTAAACATCACGTCCATTCCAAACAAGCATTTGTAAAATAAAGCAGACTTGAAAACATGCTCAGGTAAAAGATTTTTACTGAAAGCCAAGAAGGGAAATCCAAACTTTACACTTTACAGGCCTAACAAAATGGACAAATAAATTTAAAACAGATGAATATTTCATTTATCATCGTTCTGGTCAATATAACTCAGTAAAAAGCCGCTAACAACTCTGCGGGCTACAGGATTCGGAATACAGCGACAAAGACGTCCATCGATATAAGCCAAAATGCCTGACAATACAAACTTAGTAATTCTCCATCTCTGAATAAATCTCACCTTATGCTCTTTTTCCTTTAAGCTTGGCGAGTGGGGCGCCTGATTGTCGGACTCTGACTTCTTTGCCCACTTCAGGTTGGAAATGACCTTGTTAAACTGCCTTCTCAGCAAGCGAATTGCGAAGCTAACAAACAGATGTTCAAACAATGTCATCACTGTTGGCCCAATTTTCCATTCCTGCACGAAATATCTCTCTATGGATTAGTTCGGGTGCACCTGGAAATACAACTTGATCATGCACAGCCAAGTGATGCAGGAATGAACAAGAATTCATTAGATTGGGCGTGCTAATTAATTTTGTCACTTCAAACATTCATTCCAGTGGATTTTCGTTATTTTACATGCAATTGATATATTCATGTAGCTAAAGGTTAATCTGCAAAGCAGACTCAAAAAAAAGAAAAACGACAAAGAAAAATTGCGCAAAAAGGGGATTTTACAGATTTGACATTTGAAGCACCTCCAGACTAACAAATTCTACCCAATGTTCTGGGAAAAGAAAATATTTTGGGCGTTTCTCTAGGAAAGAGAAATATAACAAGGAATAGGAAAGACAAAATATTAATAGAAACATGCTCTCTAAAATAAAACTTACACGTTCTCCACGACGATGACGCAGGGGGCGGGAAGTCGTTGAAGCATCTCCCTTGAGCAGCGCCTTGTTAACAAGGAACTCCTTTACACGATCCATGATCTCATTAATGAGGGAATGATTTGGAGGCAGATTTTTAAGGATAACCTAGACATGTCAAATATTCCATCACAACCAGACAACACAGGGTCTTCTAATCAGTGACAGCCAATTTGTATACTACATGTTATCGCACTAATTTAAAAAATAAAAACTATTGCACAATACATATGATCATTCTATAAACAAGGATATCTTGTTGAAATTCCATTCAATGTACTCAAGCTTGCTAGATGTTTAATGCCTCCTTACCAACTAGATGCAGATTTAGCTGACGATTACCTGGTTGTCAATGACTTTGACTCTCAGGTATTCTTGTCTATAAACAGTATCCAACATGGCTTGGATATATCCTTCAATGTATAACTGCAACAGCACTCACATCTAATTAGTGCCCGATAACATCACCAATGCTTCCTCTCAAGGTCAATACAACAGGTCAACATTATTGCTATTAAAAGATGCCTCTCAAAATTTATTTGAAAGATCTAAATAGTTCTTCCCGCTTATGTTCTTTTATTTTAAATACCACCGTATTAAAACTTTGTTGTTTGCATGTATGCACGCACACATATGCATGCATGGATGACATCATCAATGCTTCCCACTCAGGTGGAATGCAAAAGGTCAATACTTTTGGTATTAACAGATGCCCCTCTGAAATCATTTGAAATTTCAAAATAGCTCTTCCAGCTTCCAGGTTTTGCTTGTCTGTTTTTGTTGCGCACGCTACAATCTTAAAAGGTTTGTCAGTCCAGCCACCCCCATTTTTGTGTCAAACAAATGGGAGTAAAGGAAAATATATATGCATACATACAAACTTAAATATGGACACGGTGTTGAAGATCTGAGGGAATGGCATATAGGGATTCGTCAGCACAATCAAATGTAATCCTCCAATACCATGGGCACAGCATGACAAAACAAATCATGTAGTACCTCATCAACTCCTGGACTTTGATCAAGGACGATCTTTCTATCTGGACCACCTTCCATTAATGCAGTTCCCAGAAATGATGGCTCCATAGCCAATTTTAGTATTCCTTGATGAAACCCGCTCACCTTTAATATATACATACATGCATATGTGTGTGTGGTTAAAATATGCCATATTGAATAGGTCCCTACTCCGACAAGATTATTAATAAACAAAACAGGGCAGCAGTTCCATACCATTCCGTTGAAACCATTTGCTTCAGCTCCTTTAAGAACAGAGTCTGATATTTCAGCTACAGCTGTAAAAGCTACATTAGAACCGGCGGACCTCAACTGCAGAACCAACATCAATTGATCATATGACAATTACACCTGTAATTGAAATTTACTTTTGTAAACAATAAAGAGCTAACACATACTGTTTTTCCAAGGTCGCCAAAGTAGCGTCTTGTCCCTGAAAAACCTTCACCTTTGATACATTTACTGATTAATTTGAAAGTACCTGGTCAACCAAAAGCAGTGTGTGCATAATTTGGAGGAGAAAGTAAGGCCTGGCTGCATAGCTGCACTGGAATGGGAATCCCATTCTAATGCACAACAATCGAGTTATTTATTATATCTCCATTATCATTATTCAACAATAGTTATTTCTTTTTATTTGTCATTTCATCCAAAAGACATTTTTACAAAATTCCTTTTTTTTTTTTTTTAATTCCATTCTGCATACCACACGGGACCACATGTAAGGACACATAATGTTTTTAGAGAACTTGCTAGAGGGTCCTTATTAACTCCAATAAATATGGAAGCACAATCTTATATTCAAGCGTATTTGAGCTTTTTTTTTTTTTTAAACACAGATGGAAGTGTTGCAGGATAAGCATCAGCTTGGACGGAAGTGTTAAAGGATGAGTGGTGTTGAAATAATTTTCCCAGATTCTTCCCCTTTAACACTCCTTTTCAAGTTGTGACAGTCATCCCATAAGACCTGGACAAGTTTTTCAATAACCTTCTCATCTGTCTTGCATAAATTTCATCTCAGTATAGGCAGTGAGTTCAAAGAAATAATTTAGAAAAGAAAAAGGTTCGCAGTTCCAAATGATATTGAATCTCCAAAAGGGGCAAGGCCAGAAGGTGGGGTATAATAGTATCATTCAGCATAACCATTACCTATTTGCAAACAATTTCAAGTATCTTTTAAAAAACCTTCTGGTTTGAGCTATTCAGTCTAAGTCCATTACTCATCAATTCTATAACTTACATTTAATATATAATGGACATTTCCCCTTTGGCTCTCTACTTCTCAGCAAAAGCGGAAGATAGTACAGATAAAATATTATTATGCCACAGTACCGCAACTGAAATCTCTCTAAACATAATTCAAGTTACCATCACTAATCACCAATTCCAGAAGATAAACTCAACGTCCCCTAGCATTGGCAAGTCTTCGAAGCTTAATAAAATTGAGACTACCAATAAAATGTAATTGCAAGGTTTTGATGTCTCAATCCCCCTAGTTAGGAAACGAACTTCTATGGCAAAAGAAACAGTGCAGCAAAAAGGCATGAAAACTTGAGCTATTCGTGATCATGATGATAATTACAGTTTTCAACTTAGTCATAAATCCTTGTAGCACTCAGCATCCACATTCCTGAGTTTAAGTAGGAAGATCACAGAAAAAAGCACAAAGCGGAATTCGAAACCTATAAGGATAACTTAAAGAGAAGCAGGAGCAGAATAGAGACTTTGTAAGAGATATACCTAACGTCAATCCTGGAAGATTCATCAACCCACGAGATGGGTCAAAGAAGACATCAAGAGAGGATGAAGCCAAATCATCAAAAATAGAAACAAAATCGGGTGGAAGCAAAGGGCTTCCTTTAGCAATATATATGGCCCTCATAGCATACCTGAATAAAATAGTCAATTGTAAGCTATGACTTGGTGCATTTCTTCAATTCAAAAGGAAGCATCTAGTATAGGCTTACCAAGAATAATGCTGTGCACATTTGATGATTAGCTCACGCAGTGTTATCAAAGCATGGCTAATCAGGATGCCATTCAGTTCTACAACCATACCTTTCATGGGAGGCACCTGGATAGAGAGAGAGATTAAGGTCAAGGTGCAACACGACTAATTACATTATTATATAGGATTACTTTAAAAAATTGATAACGTATGCCAATCGAACCTTAATTACACTATGAATTAAAGACCTGAGAGTTTCCTGTGCTGAACTATAACTTGCAAGTGAATCCCCAGGAATAAAGCTTGCAGTGATCTACAAAGCCCATTCATTACACAACAGTTACAGAAAATATTCATGGTAACGGGGAAAAAAAATGAAAATATGAAACGAGTGGAACCTTTATTGGATGGATTTCAAAATGATCAAAGTAAAATCGCTGACTCTCTGAGTCACTGAGAGATCTTCTCCAAAATGAAGCAAGTTTCATTAATGTCTCCTCATCAAGGTTCAAATCAATTGGCTGCATGAACCAAGGTGTTCATTCATATATGACTCCTACAAATTCTAATATGCATCTTTAGCAGTTAACAGGCTTATCATTTTTAATGGCTTTTTACAAGCTAACGTAGTTTGGTAGAAGAAAGAAAGCAGAAAAAAGAACCAAAAAATTCAAAAGAGAATTAAAAAAATGCCCTCTTCGACTTTACCTGAAGAAAAATAGATGAATATCTAAATTGCTTAATCTTCGAACTGGAGGTAAGTTGGACAAAAACAACCTTCAGTACACTATCATTTGAATCATTGTAATCAGATTGATGCCTGCGAAGCATTGATGCAAAAGGAGCCCCATTCCACTTAAGTTCCAAATTCAAGTACTGGATCAATAACAAAGGATAAAAATCAAGAATCACTCAACTGGAACAAATAATTGAGAATCTAGAAGATTTATTCTTAAACATAAAAGAATAATGACCTGTAGAAGTCAGACATGCAACAGAATTAAGCATACTTAATTGAAGTACCTGCATACTGAACAGATTATATTTCTGATGATTATTAGAAACAGTACTCAAGTTGAGATTCCCAAACTTTGCCACCGCAATTGGTGAAAAATCTGTGGGATCATTGTCATCCACCTCCTTGACAAAATAGTAACATCAAAGAATATTAGTAGCAAGTATGCAAATCCCCCGCCCCCCCCCCCCCCCAAAAAAAAAAAAAAGAAGAAGGAGAAGAACAACAATCACACATAAGTATAAAACTAAAAAATGTCATTACCACACCTGCTATGCTTTCAATGTGATGTATTGAGTAATCTAACATGATCAAGTGGACTGGAAGAAGTCCTCTCGCTTTCTAATGGGTCATAAATTTCATAACTATAAATGCATAAATTTCATAACAGCAGCATTTGGAATTCAATCAGTGACGTTTTAACCCATGTGAGATCCTGAATTAGAAATTTATATGAAATGTTTTTCTCAAGTTCTACATTGCATTTTTAGGACAGACACATAAGAACCAGGTACACACTGATACACACTGAGCGATACAAACTATATTCCAAAGACGTAGAAGGAATACACATTTATGTCCCAAGTCCAATTATTTTAAGTAAAATTAACATATGCACATATCTGGAAGCCTCAACCACAATCATAGAAAAGGCTAGAAGAGGCAAGCTCAAAGAAAACTTAGTATCAACTGATGGACTCAAGCACTCAACAAAAATGTAAATACCTGTTTTGCAGGTTCAAGTAGATGGATAGCAAACAGAGAAATTCTCAATTGCATTTTTGCGCACAAATCAAGAACTCTATCTCCCTTGAAACAATCAGAGATCTCGCAAATCCGCAGAACACGGGTGGGTCCCTCTGCATATATTTCATACCCCACTTTTTCTATCTCTATGCCATTAAGCCCATTGAAAGTTGCTCTCTGATCCCTTGATCTTTTGTCTAAAAGCAAATGTGGAGCCAATACTCTTTGTTGCCCAACTTTGTAAAATGGTTTCCATGGCCGCACCTTATCAAACTTAATTTCTCGTAACTGCAGGCGATCTGCAAGAGAAATCATTACCATTATTAGATGTAAGACTAAAAATTTCTTTAGTTCCACCAACGCAGCAAAATACAACGAAAGGGATTTACAAAAACATCAGAATAATGACTAAGTTATGTATCAAAAGGTCAAGCCTGTATCCCAAATCATATGACCACAAGGAAAGCACATGTAATGGAGTAGGGTAATTAAAGGGCTTTAAATTCAACTGTATCATATCCAGTTTATATATTAGTGAATTTGAAAAAGAGATATTGGCTTTTTAACTTAAAAAAAGAAGTAGATATTGGCTTTAAGTAGCATCTCTACTACACTGAGTATGGAAAATAAATAATACCACTCAAGCATTTCTGAGAATAAACTAGAGGAAAAAAGATGAATTGTTCTGAGCAAGTACCATTAATACGGACAACTAGTTTATGAGGAAGAGTTAAATCATCCCACACATAATCAGCACTGGTAGTAGATCCAAGAACCTCGGGCTCTGACGAAGCCTGCAAAGTTCTCAATTGATATAAGGGGAAGAAAAATTCAAAGTTAAAAAAATCAGAAAATATCAGAAAATATGAAACAAATATAAAAATGGTACAACCTTTTGATAGTAAGTTATGGATAAATCGTGCAAACAATTCTCGATTCGATATGGAAGACTCAGATTTGGGGGTTTGTAGAAATGTAAGACAAGAGTAGAGCCTTCTTCCACCACATGAATAGCAGCAAACTGTGTCATGTTACTGTCTGGTACTGTGAAATTGTTAGTTATCTTTCTAAATTTCAGGAAAAAACGTCCTAGGGAAGCTATGCATACAGGCCCCGACCATCCAAATCCTGGATCATTTGTTTTAATCTGAACATACAGCAAAGATTTGTCACTGGAGCTTCTGTGCTTCCTAATAAAATGATCAAATAAACTGAACTCTCTCTCCCTGCCAAATCCTTCCTTTAGCCGCAGTGTTGTTCGCTGTTTACTGTCAATGGAGGTAATGCCTGCCAAGTCATCCTTCACAAAGAGAAAAATTAATCACATGTATCTTAAAGAAAAAATAAACATTCTGTTAGAAGCTAGGTAGAAAAAGATAGAGTAAGTAGAGGAAAGAATAGGATTGTAGGAGGGACGTGAGGGTCCTCAAGAATTAGAATCTAATCCTAGAAGTAGGAAAATCTGGAAAATAGAAGTAGAAATAGGGGAAAGGGGAAGAAAGAGAAGAGAAAGGGGTAAAGAAGGAGAGAAATCTAGAAACAGAATCTGTAATCCTAGAGAAAAGGAAATGATTCACTTAATAATACTTATTCTTCCTTTTGGCTGAATATATGTATGACATTTATAGCCTGGTAAATAAACTGAAAATAACATCTTATCCATATAAAACTGACAATAATGTAACCAACACTGACACTTGTAGCAGCTAAGCGCAAGAAATATGTTAAAACATAAACATATAAAACATAATTCACTGAACAATAAACTAGTAAAGGCCACCAGTTCCTATCGCATTCAAATTATTATTTATAAAATCAAACCTGCAAGTAACATTGACGACACTGATCTGTTCTTCTGATTCATTACAAAGACATATCGCGGTACCAAAGTCACCATTTGAAATGGCACAACAATTTCCCCTGAAGAAGGGAAGAAAACCCCAAGCTTATTAGTATCTCATCTCAGATCCTTCCTCTTTATAGAAGCTTATTTCT